TATACATCGGGCGACCCCGAAAGGGTGCGAGAGACGGGTTGTTCAGGCCGCGAAGACCCACAACCCGACACCAATCCATCTAAGCTGTGGTTTGGGGTGAAATGGGGTCGTTTGATGTAGCAGCTGCACTGCGAGCAAGAAAGCCCCGCTTGAGGAGGGGAGTATAGAGGGTGAACCCCAAACCCGAATTGAGTATAATTAGTTGGGGTGGTTGGGGCGGGACTACATGCTGACGCAAACGTGCGACAAGTGGGCGCGCCCCAGTTCTTCAAGCAAACGTCGTTCACCCAGCGCGCGCATACTGTACACACGCCTTGAGCCCTAAACCATCGACCAAATGATAAACCCAAACCCCTGAACCTGAAACCCTGAACCCCCAAAACAAACGGAACACGCCAAACCCTCAGCCCTCAACTTACCCCAAACCCTCAATCAAAAGATGAAGCCTAAACCATAAACCCTCAGCGAAACCATAAACCCTTAACCCTGAACCTAACATTTACTGAACTATAAAACCAGAAAACTTTAACCCCAAATAAACCTGAAACCCTCAACCAAACGATAAACCCTTAACCCCACACCTGTAACCGTAGACCCTTGACCAAACGATAAACGGTAAACCCCAAACCGAGCTCCTTCTGGCACCGATGCACTTCTTCGAAGAGGCAATCGACCTCATGACACGGCTTTCGCAAAGGGTTCCTTTGCAGCATGCTTTATAGTAGTATATATATATATATATATATATATATATACATATATATATAAATATATAAATATCCGTTACTCGAAACCGCAAACCCAAAGCCATGAACCCCAAAACCGGAAACGCTAAGTCATGAATCCAAAACCTGGAAACCTTAAGTCATGAACTCGACCCGAACCACCCCAAGCCCTCTTCTCTCGGATCCAACACGCTGTGGGTATATAAGACTAGACCTAAGAGTAACCTAGGCATAAAAAGGGTACCCTTTTTGGTTTAAATTAGGTTATCAGGGAACCTAAACCCTAAAAAAAGGGGATAAGGGCCTACTCTGGCTCCTAGAAGAGCACTTACCCTCAACAGCTTCTTCTGACCAATCTGGCTTCTGCAAGACGATGCAAAGATCAGGCAGGATGTCTAGTGCAGCAAATATAGGGCATTCCGTTGATGAGGCTTTCGGGTTCCGGGTTTACCTGAAACTTCGAGCGGATTGAGTCTTCAAGTTTTGCCGTGATGCTAAAACAGGAGTGGGGGTGTCTTCGTCTGTGCGACCTCGGTGTAGGGTTTGTGGTTCAAAAAACGCCTTCAAATGCAAGTCTAAGTGACGTCAGGAAAGGTATCCTAAGGCCGACACCCCTAAATCCTTCCAACTCTAAACCCATAAACCCTAAATCCCAAAACCTACAGCGCTAAATCCTGAGACGATCAGTCAACCACTCCTGAACCCTAACGTCTGAAGCCTAATCCGCGAAATCCTGAGAACCGCAGACACATGCCCTAAAACTCAAACCCTGAACCCTCTCTACCATAGGGGAGAGCTTCAGATAGTCGGGGATCCGAATACAAATGATAGGATCCATATGAAAAGGACCCTCAAAATGACACAAAATGAGGTGCCCTAGCGAATCATCCTCAGCCGTCAATCCACCTCAGTGTTCCTTATAGTACCCGTGTAATTAGTACCCTCAAAGGAACCTTAAACCCTTTCAACCCTTTTCAAGTATCCTGGTACCAGAGCCCGCCACCAGCTGCTCTACCAAGCGCTCTTTCTCCTGCTCATCGAGCTGCAGCCGGTCCTCTCGCACCAAAACCTAGAGACTCGAGTACCCCTTAGTTAAAGAATATACCTTAAACTATGTTAAAGGTTCCTATTATAGTGCAAGGTATATTCCTTAATTAAAGAGTATACATTAACTCCATCCACAGAGGGGTTTAGGGTCTAGGGCTTCCTGCAAGGGAATTCCGAATGGATAAAAACCGGTCTACAGACTTTATGGTTGAAGGAAGTCCAGGTTTAGGCTTACGGCTTTCGAAGTTTAAGGCATTAGGGTTCGAGGATTCGAAGGTTTACAGTAGGCTGACGGTTAAGGGATTTACGGGTTGAGGGTTTGGGGTTTCGATGTCCGATTCCGCAGAGTCTCTATAAAGTGGTACTGCGACATGTCTCCGCTCCATACCAGAATATGCCTCAGCTCCGACTGATTTGGCCTCATCATATAGCCCGTGACACCCTTATCAAACCCTTATACAGCAGTTCATTCATGACACCCTGTGAAAAACCCATAGTTGGCCCTAAACCCTGAACCCAGAAGCTGAACTCCAAACCTCTATCAACACCCAAAACCCTGAACCCTTCTACAGTCGGGTTTCGGGTTTCGGGGAAACCTTGAACCCTCAACTCTAAACCCTAAACCCTAAAGCGTTACAAGGGACCAGGAGGATGCCTGAAGGAGTTCTTGGATCGGCGCCGGCAGTCGCCCTTCCTGGAACACGGACATGGGGCGGGCGTAACACTCTTTTTAGTCGGGTTTTAGACATTATCGTATAGACGTATAGTATAGATATGTTATAGGGAACATTAAGGATAATTTCGGTAATTTTCCCGACCCCCTTCAAACACACAGTGCATCAACCAACTCTTTAGGGTTCTTTTGCGGACTCCTTTAACGGTGTCTTTCGGGCTCCGCACCAGGACTCTAAATAAAGTTTAAGTTTACGGCTTGGGGAGGTTCTGGGATTTAGGATTAGAGTTTCGGATTTCGAGCTTCGGGTTTGGGGTGGTTCCGGATTCGGGGTTGTATTCAGGCTTCGAGCTTGGGGGGTTTGCGGGTGCGGATGTGACTTTGGGGCCGTTTGGCGCGGAGGATTACTACTGAGAACATACATACTAAGACTACCAACAACGATGACGATGCCAACGGCTGACGAAAACAGTATAACTCAGAGATAGTATCGACAGCACCTCTGATCACTGCCAGCTATACCCAGCAATGCGTTTGAAAATTCATTTTCCTCTCCTTCGTCATCGTCAACATGTCCGTCACCATCAGCAGCAGTAACAGCATCCGCAGTCCTTACTGACAGCAGCATCAGCAGCAGCTTCAGCATTGTGACCACTCAATCATGAGGCCCGAAGGTGCAGTCTTGCGCACCATGAAAGAAGCTTAAAACCCTAAACTCCTGCATTCCTCACTTCATCCGGGCTGAGGGAGTTGAAGCTTTGCAGTGAAACCCTAAACCCTAAACCCTAAACCTTATACCCTAAATCCTAAACCCTTAACCTCCCCAACTTCACCCGCCGAAACTCCAACGAAGCCACCCACAAAATTGGATTTCGGACGTAGACTCGCGTGGACATGGGACCAGAAGCCAGAGGTTTAGGGAGTTTAGGGTTAAGGTTTAGAGTTTAAGGTTTAGGGTTTAGTATAGGGTTTAGGGTTTTGGGGTTTGGGTTTAGGGTTTCGAGTTTTGGGTTTTAGGAGTTCGGGATTCGATGTGAGAAGCCTACATTCCTGCAGTGTTGTCGCTAAGGACCTCCTCCCCGAGCCCCGTCCACACCTTGCTGTTGGATGCCTTCGCGGCGCTGACGGCATCGGCGACCCTCGGTGCCACTCGATTAATGTAGGGGCCTTATTGATTAGAATAAGGTTTTGGGGCATATCATACTTCTAATTTTGAGATTAATGTAGGGGCCTTAATGATTAGAATAAGGTTTTGGGGCATATCATACTTCTAACTATGATAGGGAACCCCCAAAATCCTATTCTAATTATTAAGGCCCGCGTAATGAAAAGGGTTTAGGGGACCACTCAGGTGACACTCTGAGCCTCCAAAGAGCCAGCGGTCTTTAGGGTCCCGCTTCTGGAGCAGCGAAAGACTTCGAATAAGTAAAGATAAAAGACCTGGAATGTATACATGTATGTATACATACATATATATATATATATATATATATATATATATATATACGTATATATACAGAGAGAGAGAGAGAGAGAGAGAGGGCGAAAGACTTCGAATGAGTATAGGTAAACGACTCCGAGTCTATCGGTTTAGGGTCGGCGATCAACCCGGCTTCAACGCTACGTCATTCGCACAAGCAGAAGTACTAGCACTAGCTTCATCAGCAGCAGCACCACCACCATCAAAAGCTCAGCATCCTCAGCAACATCCCACCCATGGCTACAAACAGAACCAAAACAACACCATCTGGTTTCTCGCGTTCACAACCACGACCGCCAACACAAGCATGCTCATCGTCGTCAACATCTTCTTCTTCATCAGCACGGTCATCACAATCCGCGCCAGCATCATCAAACTCCTGCGATTGTCGACAGCATCGCAGCGATAACCTACATCAAGCTCGGAGAATCACGACTGTGACAAAGCACTACAACAACGAGAACAACTAGAACAATAAGAACACGAACAATAGCAATAAACATGCCAATGATTTGGTTGCCATACTTGCAACATCAATACCCATCATTACTGTCCATCTGCACTGTGGTCACGAACGACACAGCTGTTTCGCTGCAAGTCGCTACTTGAAAGAAGAACATGTGGAGGGCTTTGCAGCGGACCCGGCCATAAACCACTGAGACCTGGAACGCCTCAAAAACCTTCCAGTTCAAACGAGGGTGAAGTAAGGTGAAGCTGCTGGTATGGGGTAACAGCCTATACATTGTAAGCTTTCTCGTTCAACTGTTCGCAAATACATAAACATGCAGCAAACGAACCTCCTAAAGTGTGATCTCTATCTCGTGCGTTCGTGCATCCGACCTGGAAATTTTACCTGTATTGCGAAACTCAGCCTGTCAGAAAACCCGTAGGGTCAAGCCCCGTAATGAATCACCCATACGCCTAAACCCTGTTCCAGTATCGATTGTCTTAAGCCCTGACTCTTTAGCCCGTACGCCCTTCAAGTCAAAACGTGTTGAGCGACTGTAGACCCGTAGCTGAGACTGCGATGGCACCCGAAACCGCTGCAAAGCTCGATGCAGGCGTTCAGATGCAGTTATCGAGTTAAGCGCGCATTCATGCAAAGAGTCGCGTCCGGACGGATTCCATACTCCCTGCCCGTCTTACCTGGGTGCAAGATCTGACCAAAGCCAGTAAGGTAGAACGATTTCAAGTCCCAGCCTGTGTAAGATGAGATGCGCAGCTGCACTGCCGACATGTCTTCGTCGATGTTGACGTTCAATACATGGATCTTGTCAGAAGGGTCCCGGACAAACACTTGCTTAACGCTTCCCAACAGCTTCGTCTTGAGCGAAACCTCTTCTGCCAATTGTAGCTTTTCTGCCTCGAGTTTGTCAACCCGTGCATTGGCCAGCCTTAACTTCTCTGTCAACCTCTTTGTCTGTTTCGCCAGCTCGTCAGAGCGAGCATTGGCCCGCTTCAGCTGTGTTGTCAACTTCGCGTTCTCTGCCACAGGGCATCTGGCCTGGTGAGCGGCGCAATCCTGCAACCGCCCTGTCCACCCACACCCTGAAATTCTATAGTCGCACATGACCTTCAGATCATCAACGAGCGATTGGATGGGAAGGCTTCGTCGTAGCTGCGTCTGATCAATGGCCACTCGGCATAACGGACAGCGGGATTGCGCAGCTGTCGCACGGCCCATGCACGAAGAGCAGAACACGTGTTGGCATTCGACCCCACACACGGGATCCACGAAAACTTCTGTGCATATTGCACAGCGCAAGCCACTAGGAACATTGCTCGCGTCGACGAGCTTCTCGTCCGGAAGCCCCATCTCTAAGCGAGTTGCTTGCCAGGAAACTGCAGCGTGTTGTCGATGGGTGCTTTGTACTATGGACGTTACACAACTTCGTGCTCTACTCTCTGGGCCATGTCACCATGCGCAATGCTAAACACGGGGTACAGAAACGGGAGTTTCCCAAAATAGGGGACCCTTAATAAGGTACCCTAAATAGTAGGATCCTTATTATAAGGATCCCCAAACTAAGATATCTCTAATTTTCGGAAACTCCCAAATCTCCGTCCCCGATAGCAAACGTCACAATGCCGAGATCAGATGCCACAGCAGCCTAGACTGGAACCGACGACTGCAGAGACGACTCCAAATCGGGCCTGAAAACAAGGCAATCTAAACCCGAATCCGAACCCAGACACTCCAAAACCCCTTAATTAAGGAATATACCTTAAAATATAATAGGAGCCCTAATATGATTTAAGGTATATTCCTTAATTAAGGGGTTTTGGAGGCTCTGGGAACCCCAAACTGTCTGCGTTACCCTGATATGGGAGTTTCCGAAAATTAGGGGTACCTTATTTGGGGCTCCTACAATAAGGATCCTACTAGTTAGGGTGCTATATTGGGGTCCCCTGTTTTCGGAAACTCCCAAATAGGGGCCTTAATAATTAGAATAAGCTTTTGGGGCAGATTATACTATCAGTAGAATAAGGAGCCCTCAATGATGGTATAGGAAATTATTAAGGTCCCTAGAGTAAGCTACTTAGTGTTGTCGCACATGGTCAGTCATCAGGTGCGGGCAGCTCGGCAGTCTGACACAGAGAACCTCTTCGATCCGAAACGGATGGATGTGCTACGGCTGATGATATCAATCCTGGGGTTCCTTTAAAGGGATGTATAAGGGTACCTTCAAGGGGCTCCTTTAGTAGGGGATCTATAGGGTTTAGGGTTTAGGGTGATGATATAAATCCTGCATTGCCTTAAGGATCCTAAACTATGGGAAGTATGATATATTCCTCACAATGGGTAATGCAGGATTTATATCGTCAACCGTAGGGCTTCAAACCGGCAACCCTCCAGGACGCGCTGAGCCTGCAACCTCCCAAAGAGGACAGAGGGTTTAGGGTTTAGGGGTTTGGGGTTAGGTTTTTAGGGTCCATGGTTTAGCATCCTGTCTGTCCAAGCCTCTAGTCAGTGTACACAGATACGAACTATTGTACCTCTACGAACTCGTTCGGGTTGGAGGGATTCAGGTTTGAAGCGTAGGGTTTGGGTTTTTTCAGAGTCTCGGGCTCGGGGTTTCGGAAAAGAACCCAGACTTCTTCGTCTTGGTCGCCAGCTTATCCACCAGCGAAGATGACTCTGCCACGGTTGCCTGGCAGTAGCAGACAAACTAAGCCCTAAACCGAATACAGCGTCCTTGGCCGTAATTAGAGTGGGGTTTGCAGTTCGACTACTACACTATACTTGAAAATACAATAATAAGGAACTCGAAGCAATAGTATCAAAACCATTCTGACAGTGGACAGATGCACATGCCCTCGGAAATTGCAGAGAGCTCAGATCAAGCAGGGTTTAATGATTGAAGCTAGGATACCCAGTAACCTAAGAACAAAAAGGCCTCTCTTTTTGGTATTGGGCAACTTTATAAGGAACCTAGGACTACAAAAAAGGAATAAGGGTACTACTGGGCATCCTAGAATGTTAGAGGGATTTTGGATGTAGGCTTCCTTGAACCTGAAAACCCGGTATCCCTCAAGGCGCTCCGCTGCGGCGAAAAGCTGCATCGGCACAAACCGCCGAGCCAAGGGTTCAATGGTGTAGAAACCCTGAATGCATGCTTGGAGGGTCGGGGGACTTAGCAACTGGTTATTTTAGGGATTGTACCATAACCATAACCCCAATTAGGGTCCCTTTTAGCGTACTTATGAGTCTACTTACTACCGACTTACTAAGTCCCCCGACCCTCCAAGCAGGCAGATGTTTTCGGTGTTAAGATGATAGTTAGACTTCAACCCGCCAAACCCTGTAAGCCAAGACCGAAACCCCAAAAACTCCCCTTGCACCCGACAATAGAAAGCCCAACGCCCTTATTTACACACTTGCCTTACACCGATGAAGCGTACTAAGTAAATTAAGGCGTCTTCCCCATTTCAGGGTGGTAAGGCTTTTGGACCAATTTAGGAAAAACAAAACACACCCTGAAGCCCAAAGCCCTGAAACCTAAAGCCCTAAAGCCCTAGATCGCAAACCCTGCGGGCTGTTAGCATGTGTTTCCGAAAATTAGGGGGTACCTGGTTTGGGGGTCCTTATAATAAGGATCCTACTATTTAGGGTACTATCTTAGGGTCCCCTATTTTCGGAAACTCCCATGTCAAGGCCTCTTTCCAAGAGCTGGTAAACTGCTGCTTGGGTGGCGAGACCTCCGGCATCTTCCAGGGTTTGCGGTTTAGGGTTTAGGGTTTAGGGTTTAGGGGCGGCCTAGATCCGAAGACCTACTTTAGGGTTGAGGTTTAGGGTCTAAAACCACGAAACTCTAGAGTCTTACGTCCTAAACTCCAGAAGCATCCAAAGCCCTAAAGCTGTTTAGGGTTTAGGGTTTAGGGTTTAGGGTTTAGGGTTTTAAGCGTATTTTGAGGTTGGGTTTAGGGCACTCCACGGTTCAGGCTTCACGGCGTCGGGTGGTCTGAGGTGTTGGTTTACGGGTCAGGTAATCGTTGAATAGGTGTAACAAAGAGGCCTAAATAAGCAGAATGTTGAGCATGGTCTTGGGGGAGTATATGGCAATATAGTTATACACATCTTGTGTCTCGGGAAACAGAGATAGTTTAGACAGATAGACAGGTAGATGGATAGATCGATAGATAGCACAGAGAGATACATAGACAGGCAGAGGGATAGACAGAGAGATGGCTGGGTGGCTGGATCTGGATCTGGATCTGGATATGGATCTGGATATGGATATAGATGCATGCATGGATGGATACATGGATAGATGGTTAGGTGGATAGGTGGGTATATGGCTGGATGAATAGATAGACGGAAATAGACACATACACGTGTAAGAATTACAGTACTCACAGGACAACGGGCCTTAGTAGCTCGGGTAGAAAACGGTAAGTATACATATACACCAAATATGATAAACCCAAGTACGTTTCTTGGGACTTTGCCTACTACTCCGATGATCCTCCAAGTCATCTTAACCTCAACCTTGCTCTCTAAAACCTATGACCCTAAACCCTGAACCCAATAACCCCATACCCGACGACCCAAAACCCCAAACTCTAAACACCATTACTAACACCTTAAAACCCAGAACCCGTAAGAGAGGAAAGCAATAAGACAAGGGCCTCAATAAGTAGAATATGGTTTTGGGGGTTTTTATACTAGAGTTAGATGAAGGAACAACAGAATACTTTCGGTACAGTAGTTATTTGGGTGCTTGTCAATATGGTCCCTAAGGACCATAATTTTGACAACTACCCATTTGGGGGTCTCCGAAAGTAGGAAACCCTAATGTAAGACCATCAACAGTAGGATCCTTATGATAAGGACCCCAAATAAGGGACCCCTCATTTTCGGAAACTCCCATTTAGGCTCCTGGTTTAACTCGCTGCGGGCCCGGCCGGGGGCTTTGGCGCCTGGTCGGCAGGCGGGGGGACCTGAGCCGCACGGCGTTGGGTCTTTGCAGGGTTCCCAGAGACATAAGGGTTCCTGCACGGTTCCCTACAAGAGATCCATAGGGTTTATAGGGTTCAGGGGACTCAAAAACCCATTAGTTAAGGAATATATCTTAAATCATTTTAGGGATCTTGTTGTTATGTAAGGTATGTCGCTGAGTTTAAGTGGTATTGGAGTCTCTGGGTTCTATAAGAGCTCCATGTGAGCTCTACAAGAGTTCTAGAAGGCTTCGATAAGGCCTCCATAAGGGTCCTTTAAGGATTCTGCAACAGTTCTGAAATCTCTCTATAGAAGTTCCTACAAGGGTTACAAGGGCTCTAGGAGAGTTTTACTGCTCTGTTTTTGTTGATATTTGCCATATAGTTTACATGAGGCTGTTATAGGATTGTAAAGGGTTTACAGAAATACAACTGTCCAGGGCTTCTACGGGCTTGATAGATGGGCCTCAATCTGAACATTCAGAAGCGGAGTTTTTAGGCAGAATTCTACACAAGGAGTGCAGCAAGTATTAGTGCTGATTTTTTCCACCTCCAAGAGGGTTCAGCGCGCAAAGTTGAGATGGATTTACTTTTATTTGCTTTGGGATTTGCTTGCGGGCTAACTGAACCCTCCATTCTGTCGGACCTTCATAGATCCGCTACAGAACCCCGATAGAGCCCCTTGCTGCAGGGAGGGGTGCATGGCTTTAGGGCTCCGGGGGTTCAGGCTTCAGTCAGCCCAAATGCATGGCAGAAAACAGGCTCCCCCCTAACACAACCCTAAACCCTAAACCCCGGAACGCCCCAGCCTGTATAACACCCATCAACGCCCTCACTTAACTTCGAGAAGGACCTGAAAACGAACCCTGATAGGAGCCTCAAAGAACCGTAGAAGAACCTTTGCCAAAAGGGATCGAACGCCCAACTCCCAACCCTAAACCCTAGACTCTAAACCCCCAACTCCCAAACCCCCAAACTCCCGGGAGCCCTATATAAACCCCCCAAGGGAGCCCAATACCCTTTGATTCCATTAAGGGCCTTCATATTCTGGTTTAAGATATGGGAGTTTCCGAGAATAGGGGACCCTAATATAGTACCCTAAATACTAGGATCCTTATGCCTTATTATAAGGATCCCAAAATTCAGGTACCCCTAGTTTTCGGAAACTCCCATATATTCCTTAAACAAGGGGTACTGGGCTCTCTGGGCCTAGAAACCACAAGAAACTCCCAGGGCCCATGGGTAAGGGCCCAACAAAGCGCCACGTCTGAGGCGCCACGACCGAACCGGCCTGAAATGGGGCTTTCTTTTAAAGGCTGTTCTTTTGTTAGATTACACTACATCACATTACGTTACATGACAGTATATACATACATA